GCGTACGCCCCGCAGGCGAGCCTCGACGCGTCGCGGCACGCGCTGTCTGTGTTTGACCTCCGGCCAGAGACGATCCCTCACCTCGAGTCCACCTCGACGGCCGAGGGCGCCGCGGCGTCCGCGCTGCCGCGGGCGCCCGCGGCGGGCGGCGCGGGGGCGGCGGGGTGGCGGCTGCTGGCGCACCCGAGGGCGGGGGCGGCGCTGGCAAGGGCGCCGAACGGGGCGGTGGTGGAGTGGGTTCCTGGGGAGGACGGCGCCGTGACGCAGGTGCGGTGCAGCGCGCTTGAGGGCGTGGGTTGGGGTGCGGGTGGGGCGCGGGTTTTGGCGGGGGTGTTTGTCTCGTCCAGCTGCAGCGCTGCATCCCCGCCCCCTAAAAATATGGCTGAGCCGGCATCCTTGATGCGGATAGGCAAGCGCCGGGTAACATTGGGACGCGCTCGCTTGGTCTCCAAGGCTTGAATCTGCTGCATGGCTTTTGAGCCCGTGCCTGCACCCCCTTTCCACCCCTCGCCGCGCAGGTCTTGGCGTCGGGCAGCGACAACATCGACGCGGCCTGCGGCGCGGACAACGGCCTGTGGCAGGTGCGAGCCGCTCTAGGCCTCATGGCAGCTGGGCCAGGGGTCACGGGGGCTTGGCGAACGCCAGCCTCCCCTGCCGGCTGGTTCCTTTCGATTCAACAGCCGCCTCGCTGCACCCCGCCAGACGCACGCGCCTTGCGTGAGGCACGGGCGTCGCCACCGAGCGGCGCCGCCTCTGCCTCTTTGCCTTCCTCTCCTCCATGCAGGTCCTCAACGCCAAGTATGGAGTCCTGCTGATGTCAGCCGCCGGCGACCCGCACACTGCGCCCGCCGCAGGCCCCGCAGGTGTGTCTGCGCGGCGCCACTCTTCCCCCTCGCGTCCCCGAGCACGCCGCCCCCTCCCTCGCCCCGGCGTCGCGATTTGCCCAATACCACCAACCTTCAGCAGAGCAGTCCCTCGCCCCCAAAATTCTATTCATACTCTCCTTTTACTGTTTACTCTTCCCAATTGATGGTGTGCCAATCGTCGTTTTCTCCCAGGTGGCCTGTCAGAGCAGGCGGTGCTCGACCTGCTGGAGTCAACTGTCGGGCTGATGGTGCGGGAGTATGGCGCCGGCTGCCCATACGCTGAGCTGGCAGAGGTGGGCGCAAGTGTCACTGGGGGCCGCGGTTCATGCCATGGTGGGGATGGTGCGCATCACCAGGGCCTGGGATTTGCGTCATGGGTGGGGCCGGCTACACTGTAGCCAGCTGAGGCTGGGGACTGCGGCAGGACCAGCGTGTACTCGAGGGGCGCTGGGCCGCGCATGCGTCATGGACGACCATGCTGCCTGTCCCGATAGCCTGCCCGCGCTGCCGCGGGCCGCCGGCGTCCGAAGTCATTGACCGCACCGACCCCTGCGCCCCCAGGGCCTGGGCGCCCGCCTGGAGCGCCTGGGGCTGTTTGGCGGCGGCGCGGCGGCGGCGGGGCTGGTGGTGGCCTACAGCAGCAGCGTGGTCGACCAGATGCCCAAAGAGGGTGCGCGGCCTTTCTCGAACTGCCACGGCCCCGGTTTCTCACCCTGTCCTGCGTTTCATGCTGCTGTCAGACACCGCTTAAGCTCGGGACGCCCGCCGCGTCGGTGATTGTCCGCAGCTGGAAGGGTGTCGTGCATCAAATCCGTTTGTTTGCAGCACAGATTTTGGGTGCGCCCTGAATATGCTGACGTCATATTAATACCCACCTGCTTGCCTCAACTCCCCTTCCTGGGGACTCCTACAAACGCGACGCCCCTCCCGACCCGCCAGGCGTGAGCGGCGCCGGCGGCGTCGCGGCGCTGCAAGATCTGCTCTCAAAAAAGGCGCTGCGCCACGACATGCTGCTCACGGCCCTCGAGGCTGGCGGGGCCCTCGCCCGCCTGCCGGGCGCAGTCGGCGCGGCGCTGTTCTCGCACGCGCAGCAGCTGGCGGCGGCGGCGGCGGCGCTGGAGCTGCTGCCGGAGCTGGGGGCGGCGGCGCAGGACGGCATCGCAGGTGGGGTTGCCCCGCTGTATCTCTGTGTGCGCCCGCTCGCATCCCTTGCAGTTCCTTGCCTGGGATTTGCCATGTTTGCGCGTGCCGTGTGGCGGGGCCGTCCCCGGCCGTGCTACGAGTCACACACTGCACTGGCACCCCACGAGCGTATCTGACACCTGCGGGGGCTCGTTCGCATCTTGCGGCCCCCGCTGCTGCCAGTGACACCCTTGAGCGTTCAATCATCCTCGCTGCAGTCGCAAAAATTTCTTGAGCTCACCCTGGGGTCGCTTTTTGGGTGCCAACACACATATACACACACATATACACACACATACACACACATATACACGCACATACACACACATATACACACACATACACGCATATACACACACACATGCACAAACATTCTGTTGTGCCTGTACACACACAACAGGTGCTGGCGAGGCGCAGGCCGCGGCGGTCGGCGCTCTGGAGGCCGCCGGCGCCCTGGCAGCCGAGGGGGCGCCCGAGCCGGTTCTGGTCGAGCGGGCCCCCTGGGAGCCCTTCTTCGCGCGGCCGACCGCCGGCGCGCCCGCGCTGTTCACCGCGGCGGCGGCAGCTGCCGGGCAGCTGAGGTCGGACCTCTCTGAGCACGCGGCGGTCACAGACGCAGACGCAGGCAGCAGCGGCAGAGGCGGGAGCGTGGTGGGGGCGGAGGCCGCGTCGGCGCGGCTGCAGGGTCTGGGCCTGCTGCTGAGCCGCGCCGCGCTGGGCGCTGACCGCAAGCGTGGCCAGCTGGCGGGGGCGTTCAGGGATGCAGACGTGCGGCAGCGGGGCGCTGTCGCGGCGGCGGGCGGGGGGTGGCTGTGCAGCGCGGACGCGCGGGCGGCATGGGATCAGATCGCTCAGGTGGGAGACGAGCGAGATTCTGCGGGGTGGAGAAGGGGTGCCCACACCACCACCAAACTAGCCTCTGTGGATTCATATGCATTTGCACAATCGGACGCCAGTGCTTCATCCCATGGGGTTTAGAGGATTCACACTCAAATCAGTTCCTCAGTTTTCTCTGGTTTTAAGCCTCCTACGTGGAGAGCCTTGACTCCTCATCACCCTACCTTAGAAAGACCCAACCTCGAACCCTCAACGTCACATCACCCGACCGCCCACAGGCCTGCCTGATCCTCAAGCCCCGCCTGCCCAGCCTCCAGGCGCGACTCCTGCTGGACGAGTCCGCCCACCTGCCAGCCACCGCCGCCCTGCTCGGCGCGACGCGAGAGGCCCTCCGCGCCCTCGCCCCGCGCCGCGGCGGCGCGGCCACAGGCGGCGGCGGGGCGGAGGGGGCGGCGGCGGCGCTGGAGGCGGCGTACGCCGCGGCGCGGGACCAGAATGCGGGCAGCCTGCTGGCGGATGCAGGGGAGGAGCTGGAAGAGCTCAGGTGGGCCCTGCTGGCCCCTGTCCCCCATGATTGGCTTCGTGCGCTGCCCCTGATCTGTTGTCGTCGTTTCTTTTTGTCGTTGTCCGAGGCGCCAGGAGGGGCGCTCATCACCGCTCTTCTAGGGCGGAAGATGGGCCGATGCGCCGCGCTGCCCACCCCCCCACCCTGGCTGTCGCGTGTGCCTGTGCCCCGAACCCCAAACCCTAAACCTGCATATTCAGGGCCGCCGGGGTCGTGCCCCCCTCGGACGAGGATTCGGCCGCCGCCGCGTCGGGCGCGCTGATCTGGCGGGTCGAGTCGCTGGCGCTGGAGCATGCCTGCCACCCCCAGCTTTATGATGCGCTGCAGGTGACCCACGCCTGGGGCTGTTGAGGGGCTAGACCGCGCGCTGTGCACGCTC